TAACTTTGTAGCGGCAGCTCCCCCATGCCTGCTCCAAGGGGAGGGCAATAGGTGCGTGTCCCTGCCAGCCTGCATCTTGCATACGATGTGATATCTGTTCTGTTGCTCTCAAGCATTCATGGAGTGGGGCTGGGCTTTGCCTGGTCATGAGGTGCATGTATACTATAGGATTGCCCTGGAAGGGGCTGCCTTCTGCAACTGGAAAGCATATTACTGCCTGGAAACACTGAGATCCTGCTCAAGGGATGCTGTGCCTACCTCCCCGGGGAGGGGGAGCTACACTGTAAGATTGCATAGGTGCTGCAGGAAAGTCTGTGTTTTCTCCTGGCCTGTCACTTCCCGTCCCTAGTGATGCAGTTTCAAGCCCTGTGGGCCACTGGCAGCAGGGGAGTCCTCGTCTTGTTTGCTGAGAGTAGAACATTCGTGGGCATGCAGCGGATACTCCGTGAACTGTTGCCAGGTTCCATGTGTCTGTCTCTTCCTGTGAGCTTGTACCTGAAGTAGGTGCTGGGGCTCCCATCCCAAGCAGCCTATGTGGTTCCTGCAGCTGAGGCTTGTTCTCCCCCCTATGCCTGGCAGCCTGCCACAGGCTAGGATTGACTCCTTTTCATGAGCAGCAAGGGCATCTACATGCCCCCTTCCCCTCCACTATTTACCTAGCTGTAGTTTGTAGATGGGGATTAGTTGTGCCACTGCTGCTCTGCAGCAGGCTGCAGCACCTGGCCCATCCAGTTGTTTGTGGGGATGAGTCCAGGGTGCATGTATGTGCCAATTAGATATGCCTCCCATGGGGGGAGCCAGGGGTGGAGTGAGGCTGAAGGGGCCTGGAATAGTTCAATGTGAGCACCTGAGCTGGGACAGAGCAGCCAGACTATGCATTTGCCTTCCTCCCTGCCACCAGCACAGTTGGGCTGAAACTTCCTAACCACAGAAAGGGAAGGGCTGGGAGAGTGGGCCTCCCTCTAAACACTACCACAGCAAGACAGCAGGTGAACTGGGCACTGGCTGATGCAGGTCTGCCCTGAAGCAGACCTCTCAGAACAGGAGGATGCAGAGGCTGTAGGGTCTAGGAGTTAGCAACGGTCAGCATCAGAGCTCTTGCTTCACTGTCAGCAAGTGACTTAACCTCTGCACCCCCATTCCCTGTACAATGAGAAGAACTGACCTACCTCACAGGGGGTTGAGGCAGCCTGAAGGGTGTGCGTGGAGATCCTCAGATGAAGTGTGCTTACTATGATCCTGGCCCAGTCTTAGCTGTCCCCCTCTGAGCCAAGCTGCACCCCCAGCTCTGCTGCACTGGAACTGGTCAGATTGCTGCAGCTAGTGTTGAAGGGGAAAGTTTAAAGGGTGCGTAGTTCAGTTTACAGGACCCAGCTGGCTGCTTGTGTTATAGTTTGTGTGGTTGCCATGACACCCAGGTTCTCGTGCTAGGGCTGTCTGTCTATATAGAGCCAGGGTTTCTACAGTCCCTTTCCCAGTAAGACTGTGCCACTACCAGGCTACGTCTGGACTGGCCTGATTTTCTACAAATGCTTTTAACAGAAAAGTTTTTCCATTAAAAGCATTTGCAGAAAAGAGCATCTAGATTGGCACGGATGCTTTTGCAGAAAAGCGTCCATGTCAATCTAGATGCAGTTTTGCGCAAGAAAGCCCTGATCGCCATTTTCGTGATTGGGGCTTTTTTGCGCAAAACAATACAGTGTTGTCTACACTGGCCCTCTTGCATTTGTGCAAGAGGGCTTTTGCCCGAACGGGAGCAGCATGGCATTTCTGCAAGAACACTGATGATCTTACATGAGATGGTCAGTGTTCTTGCACAAATTCAAGCCACCAGTGTAGACAGCTGGCAAGTTTTTCCGCAAAAGCAGCTGCTTTTGCGGAAAAACTTGCCAGTCTAGACACAGCCCCAAAGTCTGGTGCTATTTCAGGCTGGCTACAGTGATGGAGTATGTTAGTCACACAGGGGCGCTCACTGCCTCAGAGCAGTTGTTTGGCTTAAACTGACAGCTGTTGGCAGTGTTCATGGGAAGCAACATGTTGGCATTATTCCCCAGAAGAGAGGTGCACCCACTCTTGCTGCTAATTAAAGGGTGCTTATGCTTGATGGTCCATGTCTTACTGACAGTCCCCACCTGTAGCCCTGAACCACCTTTGCCCCTGGTGCAGTGACATCAGTATTAAAAAATTCACTTGAGTTTTCCATACCCTGTGAGAGCCATGGTGAACACAGAGCTGCAGCAACAGGCTGGGGTCATCGCTACAGCTTGACAAACAGCGGTGAAATCTACTCACCAACCCTGCACATGCACAAGACCCACCGTGCACATGCACGCGCCATTGGTGAACGAGTACTGGCTGAAATCTACTTGCCTGTGGTGAGCAGAAACAGCAATTTGTCAAGCCCTGGTCATCACTCCACACCTGGGAGTTAAAGCCTGGTTCTTTCACCTGCCATTGCTCACATCAGTCTTAACCATGGATACTCAGCCAGTGCTCCCTGCAGCTTCAGTTCTTTATTTGAGTGGAGGCATTTCATCTGTGTGACTGAAGATCCAGTCAGATTTACACACATCTAAGGCTTTGTCTCCACTTGCTGGGTAATCTATGCTGCAGGGATCCATCTGCTGGTGTTCAATGGAGCAGGTCTAGGCAGGACCTGCTAACTCAACCACTGATATCACCCCTGTGACCCTGGTACTCCACCTGTCCACAGGAGAGTTTCTTCCATCAGTCTCCACAGGGGGATTTGCAGAAATTCAAATTAAAGGTACATTGAGTCCAGCTATGCTATTCATGCAGCTGGAGTGGGGCATCATCTTTGTCCCAGAGGGCAGATCTTGCCTAACTCCACACCAATGGAGTACTCCCCTCATGTTTGGAGTATTTTAGACGATTCCTGGGAAGGGGAACACACTGCTGATTGTTGAATGAAGCTGAGCATTGACTTGATTCATTCTGGAACTTCCAGAGAGCTGTGAGGAAGGAAAATACAATGGAGGGGAGTAAGGCAAGAACTGATCCCCAGCAGGAGCGCCCCTTTGGCATACAGCTTGCATTGATGGAGTTTTCTTCCAGCCCCCCTGAAAGTCTGTGGGGCTGGGGGAGGCAGCACAGAGAACCCTGAAGTATATGTCAGCAGCTAATGTATATTCATGGCCTGGAATGCTGTAACATGAGAACAAGGAATAAAGAAAGAGTCACTGCAGAAAAAGTCCTCAGCATGGTCTGCATTTTATTTCAAAATGGGTGTTCAGAAGGCAGCAAGGAGGGCAGAAGGAACACGCTCACTCAGGAGCAGAGTTCTCAGCAGTTCCCCCACATTCTGCTCATTGTATTTCATGCCAGGCATAAATAGTTCCCATGGGACCTAAGCCTGGCTGAAGTCCATCCAGTTTGCTATTAAAAGTCAACCAGGAACCCTTCCCATTGCACCGAGAACTGTGAGATTGCTCCTGCCTCTAGCAAGACTCCTCACTTGTAACACAAGACCAAGTTTATAATAAACTCTTCCCTTGACCAGAAATATATAAAACTGTCTAGTTTGCTGTAGCAATACTTAAGACAGATTTCTTTAGAAGCTGATTGTCCTCTGCACATCACAGTGGGACTGACAATGCAGCTTGTTAATCTCATGCCAGGCAGACTCAGACTCCTCTCCCTGCCCCAAACCCACAAAGGGGCCTGCTCGCAACAGAGGTTCTGGACAAAAGACTGCTTCAGAGCCGTAACTCCCGCGTATTGCCTTGTGAGTTGAACAAGCACCATTAAAGCATGTTAGACTATAACCAAGATCAACTTTTAGCTAAACCAGCTCACTGCAATCAACCAGCAGAGTCGATTTTCCACAGCAAAAGGATCCAATTCAGGCCCTGAGGATTTAACAAGAAGGGACACAGCATCCTATTCCAACTCCCTATTCAAAGTGAAAGGCAAGGAGGTAAGCACAGAACAGAGTAGCTCCACCCATTCACCCCTTTCAAGCCACTGTACTAAACTGAGTGCATCTGTGCTGATGGAGAAATAACCCTCCATAACCTCTTTACTGCTATCAACCAGAGTTAGACCTTGGTTGAAACATACAACTGTGTCTTAAGTGAGGCAACACACTTGGTGTGCCCCATAGCTTGAGGTGCCAAGTTCTCATCCAAGCTCCTTTATTCAATTGCTGGGATTAGCAAAGTGGGCCAGGGAAAGCAGCTGGAGTCGGCTTCCACAAAATGGGCTCAAATGCACTGATTTGGGACCAACCGCTGGAAAAAAAGGTCACAAGAGGAGAGAACTCAAGAGGCTTCACATATAAATTTAATCAGAATCATCTGGCAGAAGGAGCCTCAGCAACAGATGGTGACATGCACCAGCCAAGATTTTAACACCAAGATAGTCTGTCCTTCAGGCCCCTATTACATCCAGATGTCATTGTCACCACATGACCTTGAGGCTGCAGCATTAGTGTCAGACTATGCACGGTCTCCAAGATTTATAGAATGACCAAAAAGCTCCCTCTGGACAAGACACTCTATTCTGCACATTCTCATCCAATCACTGCACGCGACTGAATACTAACGAAGCCAGTGGGAGGGGCAGGGCTAGGCCAGCGGTGGTACAGAGACAACACCCCAGTGCTCAAAGCCTCCCTGCTAGTCAGTGAATAACTAACCAGCGGAAAAAAAATAATCAAAACAGCCCTTTCAGTGCGTCCACAGAACCACATCTCTACCTAAACAGACCCACTACAGGTAATTACTATTCTAGAGCAAACAATGCAGGGAAGTCACTGTTTGACTGCTACACTTGTTCTGGAGGGCAAAGAACAACAACGGAATTAAAACCAACAAATGCTGAACATTGTGGGAGGAGGATCAGAATTTTCAAGTTACTCTGATGCAGGTTGTTTTGTTAATTAATCTTCCCTCATTTTTAGGACAAGACCAAATCCATCTCTATGAATTGTGTCCTCTGAGAGGAAGTCAGTTCATTGCATCATAATGCTCTAGGAAACCACGTTAGCATGAGGGACAGTTTGTGTCCATTTCAAAGCCCACCAAATTTGAGATTTGGTCACCCTTCTCCCCTCCCCACCTACCCACCCCCCAAAAAAAACAGGATCATGATTTTATGCCATGATAGAGAGAATTCAGAGTCATCCTCATGAGTAAGAGCAGCACAAGACTGCATCCTGATTTTGTAGTTTTGTTCCTCATGAGTAAGAGCAGCACAAGACTACAAAACTACAAAATCAGGATGCAAACAAGTTATTAGCCAAAGTCACACTAAAAATTCTCACTCCTAAGTTCAGACCTTCCATGGCAGAGTAACTGCTGAATAACATCTGCTATGACCCCATCAGAAGCCCTTTAAACCCATTAGTAATAGGCTGACAAGTCCTGCAAGGGACATTATCTAGAAGCAGCGCTAATGTCGTGCCATTAACCAGACAACTAGAAACCAGGCACCTGATTAGTCACTAAGGATGTTAAGTATCGGGTACCTCTGCCTTTAAAACATAGCCACAGCCCTAGGGCTGTTGCTACACTTCAAAAGCAAAAGCACTGAAGCCTGGGGTCAGCGGGGGACTCCCCCACTGATCCCGAGCTCCTTGTGGCACTGCCACTTTGAAGTACCCCCCTTTGCTGCCTCTGATAGAGGGGGAGGGGGAGCAACTATCTTGTTGACTAGTCATTCACATCCCTATTAGTCACATCAATATATGGAATATAGGGTGGTCTCCGTAAGCAACATGGCAATCTTTAGCAGACAGCCTCTCAAACAAACCAGCTCCAGCCCCTGCCCAACTTGCCTTAACCCTCATTGCCCCCAGCCCCCGTGTCTGCATGGTACCCACCTAGATACTCAAAAGAAGCAGCAAGTTTTGGGTTTGATCACTATGTATAGACTTAGGTCAAAGCAAACCCAGCAGCAATGGTAGATGCCGTTAAATCCATTACTTTAACTAGATAGTTGGCAGGCAGCCCTCCTCCTCCATGAGCCTCAGCTGTTTCCCAGAATTCCGGCTCACCGGGCCCACCTCCCAGAGCACTTCAAGCTAAGACTAGGGAATACACTGAAGAAACTAACTAAATAAATGCAGATAGTGTATTAGGTCCCCTCTACAGAAGTGGGAATTCCTCAAGGTCTGAGGTTGCTTCTGATACACACCCAGAAAGTGCAGTGCCCTAGCAGTAATGTGAGACCCAGGATCTCTCAGCAGTTCTAACCCCCTCGAAAGCCCCTGGACAAAGGAGCTTCCCAGGGGACTAACAGAACGTGGGGGCAAACTGGAGCCAAGCCCTCACAAGCCTTTCAAGTAACTTCCAACGTGGAAACACAAGCTCCTTCTCTGCTTACCTGCTAGATCCCGTGTTCAGAGTCTGTAAGAACATGGCAACCCCCTGAGACAGCACCAGATGCTGAACCCCCACCTTGGCAGATGAGGAAAAGGAATGATTGGTCGCAGATGCTCAAGTGCATTCATTTGCAGCTCTCCAGCTCCGTAGCTTACTTGCTTTGCTGCTCCCCTTTACACACAGCTTTGGGAGTTCTTCAAGAGAGTGCTCACATGTCCTCTTCTCCCTTCTCCCCCAGCAGCATGATGCACCTCTCCATGCTCTAACACTGCAGGAGGTGACCAGTTGTGTCCAGGCAACAGGAATAGCTACACACAATCTCTCTATTATCACTGTAGGTAACAAAAAGAAGCTTTGGGACAAAACTGTTGCAGCTCAACTCGAGCAGGTGCCCCTAAGTGCAGCAACTGCAGTGTCCAGGTTTCCAGTCACAGAGCCCACATCAGTTTCTGACAATGTTCAGAGCTGACAATAGTTGCCTCTGCCAGGCATCCTAGTGTCCTAATTAACAAGGTAGAAAGGGCTGGCCCTTGACTGGCAGTGTGCAGCCCCTGCTAAGCAGGGCCTACTGGACTGTGCAGGAGAGAGAGTCCCCAAAGCAGCAGGGACAAGGTGAGGCGGCAGCAGGTTTTGGGGGAATGAGATCTAGGTCCTCATCGTCTGGGATCTCATCTAGGTGGTACCCATCCTGCAGCAGTTGACGGCTCAGATCCTGGTTCACCTGCTGAGTGGGTGACAGAAGAGAGAAGCACTCCTGAAGCAAGTCAGTCTGTTGGGAACATGGAAGCTCCTCCACTGCTCCAGCGCCAACAAAAAGATGTTCCCTGTTGTCTCTGATGTCTATCCTCTCATGGTTGGGACTATCTTTGGGACTATCGTTTGCAATTCTTTCATTTGCATTCTTATTACACACCCACCCCCTTAGCAGCCAAGCAATCAAGGGGGGCTTGATTCGGAGGCGAGGATTGATTTAAATCAAAAGGAATTTTTAAAATTAAAATCAGGTCTTAGCAAGAATAAGGCCATAAACTCAAAGAGCTCCACGTTTCCAGCATGCTCCTGATCCCCAGCACCCCACAGAGGAAACAATACCAGATGACCAGAGAAAAGCTTGCTGGCAGAGAGAGTTTTAATTCAGACTGCAGACACTGATGAACACCACACAGATCAGTGTGGGGCTGCCACTCAAAGTCCTTTACAAAGCTAAGCTAAGGACAAACTGCTTGAGGGCCTGTCAAGAGATTGTGCTTATAGACCCTAATAGGAAATCAACCATATCAAATACAACTGTCTGTTTGTCGGGAGGGGCAGGGTTGGAAATTAAGCATCCTCTTGCAGCTTTGGACACCCAAGCAGCATTACGCTCCAGTAGGAGAATTAGAAATTTGAAACTGACCAGTCTAGATAACTATCCAAGCTCAATGAAGTGCATTAGCGGCATCAGAAGAGTAAAGTAAATTACACTCCACATACTGAACTCTCTGCCACCACATATGGGACCTGAGCAAAGGGGATAGTTGGGAGAGGGGCAGAATGGAAATGGATCCAGGGTGTGAGGTAAATGGAACTCTGGACTTGCCTCTGCAGAAGAGTAACCGGAGGAACATCTGGACTCCAGCTCCCCGTCACTAAGAGAAGAATGCAAGAGTCAGGTAAGCAAGAGCATGTGTAAAGCATCAACTGCTGCATCAGCTCTCAGAGGGGTATGCAAGAATCTGGTAGAGTGTAACCCTCTCCCCTTGCAGGTAAGGGCTGTCTGAAGTGAGGGAGCTGATGTCAGCTCCTGGGGACAAAGGCTCTTTATATTTGCACTGTTAATGAGCCTCTACAGGGCCCTCTCCAACAGGAGCCTCACTCACAGGGCAGCAAGGGGTCACTCTCACAAAGGTGGGAATGGGCTTTGCAGCTCGGTGTTAATGTGTCCAACTCTCTTGGGGTTGTACTGCTGGGGGCAAGCAAATCAGTCTCTGGGGTAGCAAGTCAGCCGCTTCTCTCAAAGCACCGAGCTACAGCCACCCACACGAAGTTCTCACCTGTCTGAGTCAAGGGACACCAGGTTCTCATCCGCTATCTGGCTGAGAGCAGCGTAGCCCTTGTTAAACTTCACTGACCTAGAGAGAAGGGCACAAGAAAGCCTGCAACAGACATTGAGAGGGGGAAGCAGATCTATCTGCTAGGCTAAGACAACAGGGATAAGAAGCATGCAGCGGACATGAGAGAGATCCTCTCACCCCTTACTGCCTAGGCCCTGTTCATCTCAAGGAGGAAGATTCTCAGCCACTAAGTGCTACACCAGCCAGGAATTAACTCCACCTTCAGATGCTACAGTGGATTTAGCTCCTCAGAGCCAGACTATCCCTCCAACAGAGAAATATGTACCTCGTTAAAAGGGTTCCTTGTCTGAACGTGCAGGACTGACAGCTCTACTGTAGCATTTCCCAGCGGTTGGCTACCCCTCATTCAAAGCCAGCAGTTTCCAGGCCCACCCCCCCTGCATTTTTTACTCTTTTACAATACAAGCATCAGTGCTAACCACGACCAGCCTATACAACCTCAGTGGGTGTGTTCCAAGAGTAACAGGAAATACTTGATGCTGAAGGAGAAGAGAAGACAGGGAGTGTGGCAAGTGACTTGTTTGCTTCAGATTCTAATCAAGTTTTCAATATCTTGTGACCCCTGATTGCTTTGTGTGGGCCCCGCCCCCAGGGTTGAGCTAGAGCCATGTCCTCTGCTTAGTCACAAAACAGTTACACCTTTGACAGCAGCATCACAAGCTCACTCATGCTGCCCTTTGCCAGTGAGCCTCATGCCTGATCTGGAGAGACCATTTCTAGGAGCAAGAAGGCAGTTTAGTCTCTATGGTCCACTCATTTGCCTCTAAGTCTGGCAACAAGTAGGTGGTGGGCGAGGGGGAGATGGGGCACATGCAATTAGTGTGAACAGTGATCACTGGTGCATGATGTGGACACACATTGGCAGGGCCGGATGGAGGTATGGGCGAGCTGGGCAGCTGCCCAGGGCGCCAACCCACGGGAGAGCCTGATGGCAGCTGTAAGGGGTGTGCGGTGTCCCTTACAGCTGCCATTAGGAGCCGCGTACCCGGCTCTCGCAGTGCTGGCCCCACGGCGCCGGTCAGCAGCGCCCTTCCCCCCATGGCTGCGGGGGCCTGCACAGATTGGCGTGCATGCCAGCTGTGCACGGCAGG